GAAAGGGAACTGGCTCCACACAGATCAGTATTCTTTCTTTTCCCTACAAAAGGTGTGACAGAGAATGGCAGCTGTATCATGAGTGATTCGCTGTGTAGTTCACTAAGGAAATCATGATCGTCTCCCAAGTGCTGGGGCCAGGGCTGGGGGCTGAGGATGGGGCAAGGCTGAGAACGCCTTTCCTGCTGTCCATCTAGCACCTCCCATCTAATCCTGAAGCTCTTCCCTAAACGTCCTTCAAAGTTGTCACAGCGTCGTCTTTCAATAAGAAGTGGTCGGTAAGGGCAATATGGGAGGAGAGGTGCTTCTCTCCTTCCCGGGAATGTTCCTCGGCTCCTGGGATCTCACAGCCACCTCCGGCTGGATTACAGACATGTCAGGAAAAAACCAAATGTCACTGTGGTAGTGACATTTCAGTCTTATAATGTCTTAGTTTCCTTTGAAGCAAAAGCCGCTTTAAAAATCCATGTTAAAAAGGAGGAAAAAAGTTAGGACTTGTTACTAATCTCACGGCTGAATAATTAAGTGTGCCTAATTCTGAAAGTAGCAGGCGAAATTATGCAGTGCCGAAGTGACACTTCTCATACCTACACCATCCCGTCTACAGCAGCGTGGTTTTGACTTTATAGCTTAAATATGCTGCCAGAAAACCTAATAAAAGGAAGCAAAAATATTTCTGTTTATATCAGGCTGCCATTTGAGAAAGACTTTTAAATATGTTCTTCCCCATGTGTAAATCTGACAGCCCTTGCATAATTAAAACGCCAGTGGAGAGTTTCCTCTGAATCTTTTCAAAGAAACCAGTAAAACATCTTTTAGGCTGTAAAATGATGGATTAATACTTGGCCATCTTTGAGCGAGAACACTGCCTCCAAGAATATTGTTTGGGGCTAAAAGAACACAGGCCACCATCTCTATCTGTGGGAGTTCATGTAATCACAGGAGATGCAGGTAACGATGTGCCCAGGGGCACACACGCATTATGATGAGTTCTGCTCATCTCGGATTTTGTTAAATGGAGGACTGGATAAACGAATGCACCCACATTAAAGCAAACTTGATTTCAACCCCTTAGGAACATGTCAAATAGCATAAATGAAAGAAATAATAATGACCCAGGATTTCAGTTCAGTGTGAGCCATCAAGATGAATGATTTAGACCACAGAGTGGTTTTTTATTTTACTGCTGAACAATCACAGGCAGTGATTCCTGGATCTGTTCCATGTGGACACACGTGTCTATGCCTAGCTCTGGGTATGGGACCCTGTTCCAGCTAAATGTCCAGACAAAGAGTTCATGTTATCCTGATGTTCCATCTAACCCTGAATACACGTGGTAACACCTGAACTTTTCTTCTGTGTCTCCCTCTAGCTGAAGGCCATTCCTGCCCCTTCTTCCCCTTCCCTACACGTGTGCATGCATGCACAAACACACGCACGCATGTGCATACACACACACACACACACACACCAACCCCAGGGCAACAAAAGGCAGAAAGCAAGTGGTTTCTGTCTTCTACCATTCTGATAAACATCACAATGTCTCCTACTCACTAGCACCTTTGTCTCTGACCTTCTTGGTATTGGCTCTTGCCTTCTCAGTTTAGACCTGCCAGATGCTTCTAGTCTGTCTGACTTCTAAGATATGTTTGATCCTTCATGCTTTCTCTGGACTTAATCAGTTGTTGGCCTGACCAACAGACAAGTCCTCCTGCCCAGCCCTGCCCTGCTGTCAGACCCACACACACCCACACCCGTTATTAAATACTTCAGTCTCAAACAAGGATGTGTCCACCAATTATATGCATGAAATTGGTAGACTGAACACTGCATAACATGGATTCTGGACCCAGCTGAACATATAATTAACTGTGACCTGAAACAAGTTCCTTAACACTCTGCACCACATGGGGTTGGACTGAAGGTCTTCTCCTTGTTCCAGTCCTCTTTAGTGAAAATAGCCAGGATATGCCACCCATCAACAGTGTGATCCATCTCTTGTTGGAATATGCTTTAACCTGTGTCTCATAGGATATGCTTTAACTTTTCAAAATGTAGCACCAGGTCTGACATACACAATATATCATATTTATAGAATAAATAAAAGAAGGTTTAAAAAAAAACTATAACTAAAATCTAGATGCATCATTTAGCAGGGTCCACACAACCACAAAAAAGAAATGTCCACACTGCAGCATGGACCATATACACCATGATCTTCACTGATCAGATAAAACTGAGTGCATGCGAATTTCTCACCCGATAAGGTGACAGGCATACAATCCTTTTGGACTGAGCTTTGGCTCCCTGAGCTACTAAATCCATAAAAGCACCAACACTAACAATAATCGTCTCTGAAGACTCAGAGCATTTAAGGGAAAGAAACTATGTAAGCAGAAGAGAAACTGACGTATGTATGTATTTAGTTAATCTCATCGCAGTACATTTTGCAAGAGAAGGCTGAAATGACAACCGTGCTACTTCAGGATTCAGCAGAACTTATCTAACGGACGGAAGTGACTGAGTTGAACCACCGGCTCAGACCACTAGAGCAGGTGGATTACTCACAGCAATGCTGCTGCTCGCATGGCTGTCCTGGCATCCCTGTAGAGGTCTGGTTCAATGCTAAGCCGTCCACAGCCTAGTTCTGGTCCCTGAGTGCAGCTCCCCTGAGAGATACATGTCTCCCTACAGCAGATTTTGGAAACAGTGTGCTGGGTCATTCGTAACACAGCCACATGCTTGAGTGTAGCCCTCCTACACTGCTTGCCTACATCTGAAAACACAAATCTAGAAAGAGAACATAGCTCCTTTCTGTTTGACTAAAGAACAGCCAATCCTGCCAGTACATTAAAGACTGGGGCTTGGAACAATTTGCCAACACACAGACTTGATTTTGTGCAAAGACTGAGAGGAGCTTTAGGAGCTGTGGCTGGGCAGTGAATGAAGAAATTGATGAGAGTGCCATCAGAGAGGCGCTGAGACCACAGGTCATTGGCATGGGGCCCGATTCTGGTGGATTCACTGCCTGTAGGGGAAGAGGACACTGCTAACACCCTTCCCTTTAGCCTGTGAGTTTCATTAGGAAGCTAAAGCCAGAGCATGTAAGTGGGAGAGAAACGTTGTCACCATCCATTATGTGCACAGGTGTGCCTCTAGGTGCAGGAAAGCAAAAGGGTGTGTTTACAAGAGGAAGAACACAAATCCGTAATGAGCTATGAATGCATGATGTCATCCTCTAGGACTAAGCATCCTTAGTACTTTTAAAGCACTTAAAAAAAACTCTAGTTGCTATAGCAACTTGATGCAGCTCTTAAAAGGGGATTTTTTTCCAGGGGGTCATTTTATATCTTCAATCACCATAACAACATGATATAGCTTTTAAAGGGTATTTTTATCCAATTTGTGTGTGCTTTGGGCTTGGGCCATATTTGCCTTTTCTACTTAAAATAATCAGATCAAGCATGACACACAAAAAATCATTGAAGGAAAGGAAGCCCTTTCGTAGACTATACATATACACTCAGAGACACATCTCTAGCTGCTCATATTCTGCACATGCATGAAGTCTTTCTCTGTCTCCCAGCAGCCATCTGCGGTGGCTTACACTGGCCAGTTAGTCTGTGCCTGTCTCTGAGCTGGCATACCAGACTAGCCCAGAGCCTACCCATGGAAGTTGTGTCCATACAATCCCCCACTTCTCAGCCCAGTGGATCCAGCCCCCTCCTCCAAAACTACCACCAGGAGATAGTGCCTTGGGGTGACTAGTGATATGGCCAGCCCAATGCCTTCTTCCACCCTGAGACTCAAAGCAGGAGCAGATGGGACACACAAAATCTCACCAAAGTGGAAATCCTGTATTTATTCTGCACTCTGTAGTAGCTGGGGAGAATGTCTGCTCACATGACACCCAGGGTCCAGGGAAAGGGAGGATGGGGAAAGTGGGTGACAGGAGAAGAAGACAGACCTGGAAGGGGTGCAGTGGGGAGCAGTAAGTGGTTCCAGATTCTCTACGGGAGAGGTTCAGAGAAAGGGTAAAAGTGGGAGAAGTGGGGGGACTTACTAAAAGAGTACTTACACAGCATGTTGTGTATGGTTGTGAAACCGTGAGCTGCTTGTACCAAAAATAAGGAAAAGGGATAATAAAAAGTATAGAGAAACCAGCCCCCTCCCCCACCCCACCCAGCTACCCCCTCGTGCCACTATTGGTTGGAAAAGATGGCAGGGTAACAGAAGAGGTCAAGAAATTGGAGAAGTGAAGAGGGTGGAAGGAAAAGGGCGAGAAAGTCGTGAAGAGGGTGGAAGAAGGGGATGGCGGGGAGCCGAATGAGAGCGCTGAAGTCCTGGCCTCCCAAGTCAGACGGGCTTTTCTTTGGAGGAGGTGCGGTGTAAACCGTAGGAGAAGCGGGTGGGAAAGAGATCAAGGAAAGTGGTTGCCCTCCCCAGGGTAAAGGGCTGGAGGATACTGAAGGAAAACGCGTGGCGAAAGAAGAAAGGAAGGAGAAAGAAGTAAAAACGCTGTGAGTGGAGGTAAAAAAGGGCTTCCCAAATCACCTGGATGAGGAAACAGACCCAGGGGGCGCGAGAAATGGAAGGAAACAGCAGGCCCTGACGCTTGTTCTCTTTAGAGGAGAAAACTGAGGCGCACAGAGAGGTTAAGTCATCGAGTTGGTAAGTGCTGGAGCGCGCGGGCGGCCGCGGGTCAGCCCAGCGCCAGGGTGAGGGTGCTCCCCATTAGGCGCACTGCCTGCGAGTCACCTCTGGGTGAGGACCAGAGACTGGCCTCTCCGGGCACTTCCCGCGCGGACAGCCGGTTAAGAAAGAGAAGGGTCAGGAGAAGGGGGACGGGTGGAGAGGTGAGGGCAAGACGAAAGCAGGCGGTGGGTTGTTAGAAGGTAAGTGGGGGAGCCGAGGGACGCGGACCCAGCCTCGGAGCCGTGGAAGGGGCTGCAGGTAAAAGGCACGGAGAGGAAAAGACGCGCGCGGGGCGCGCCGCTCACCTATGGTCGATACCACGGTGCCCACGAAGTAGAAGGCGCCGGGGAAGTCCCAGCGCGGGCGCAGCGCGTCGGCTCGGACGCCGGCGGCCAGCGCAGCCTCGTAGTGCCGGAGGAAGGCGCGCAGCTCCGGCTCGGCCACGCCGTGCGCTGCGCTGAAGTTGCGCAGCGTGGCGCCCCAGCGCGCCCGCGCCTCCGCCTCGCCCGGGCTCTCGAGCGCGGAGAAGACAGTGGCGCCTGCCACCAGGTAGAGGCCGATGAGCGCCGCCAGCAGCACGAAGCGACCCGTGTCCTCGTTGAGGTGCGAGCGGCGGCAGCAGCAGCAGCAGCAGGAGGGGCGCGGCAGGCGGCGGCGGCAGCGGCGGGGCGGGGGCCGGGGGCTGCGGGAGGACATGGTCCGGAGCTCAGCCCCGGGGCCGGGGCGGCGCTCGGGGCCCGGGCCGCGACATCCCCCCCGCGGGAGCAGAAGCGTGAGGATGGTGGCCAGGGGTCGGGGGCCGTCGCGGAGCCCCTTGCCGCCTCCCCCAGAGCCCGGACGGCGGGGCGCCTCGCCTCCGCCTTCTCGGCGCTCAGGCCGCACACGGGTCCCGAGGCCCTTCGAGCGCCCGGGCTGGGACGCTCCTCTCCGTGCCCCGACGCCTCGCCGGCTCCCGCGGCTCCTCACCCGCGACCCTCGGGTGCAGGGGTCTGAAGCTAGGCCCCTGCCGCCCTATGGCCGGCGTCCGCGGGGCCCCGGGCCTCATACTCCTCTCCAGACAGGCCGCGGGCTGCGGGCGGGGCGGGCAGGGGAGCCCGGGAGTCTTAAGACTGGGACACTGCAGCAGGGCACGAAGAAAGCCCCCGGGGGCGTCCCATGAGGCGTTCCCCCTCTCTGCGGCTCCGAGGCGCAGGCTGCGCTGGCAGTCCGCTCCCACCCCCGGGCCTGAGCTGGCGACGTCGGCTTCGCAGCCTCAGAACAGAGCCGAGTCCCGGGAAGCGCTCCCTTTCCAGCTCCAGCCGGAGAGCCGCCCGGCACCGAGAGGCGGAGTCACCGGCGCCCGGGGCGGGGTGTTGGGTGGGGGGGCGGGGGGAGAGATAAGGATGGAGAGAAAGAAAGGGGTGGGGAGTTGGGCTGCTGCGACGCCTCCCGGCCGTTCTGGCGGCACTAAATGCGGGGCACCGAAGCAGGTGTCCGGACTGTGGTACTGGCTGCCACCCTGCCAGGGAACCCCGTCCGGCCCGTCCCTGAGCTTCGGCTCCGGAATCCCTTTCTTATCTCCAAGCTGCCGCCAAACTTTGCTCAACTTGAATGTGCCTTGCGGTCTTAGGGGTTGGGGGCCACAAGACGCGAATCTTCCAACACCTGGTTCTCGGACTGCAGTCCGAACTTTAAGTTCCCTCTTGCTCGCTTCTTCCTGGATCCTTCCGCAGCGCTAGGTCTCTGATGGTTGCTTTGGAGAAATGATCCGGTCTGGGAAGGAATGGGGGTGGGGTCACTCGGCTCCGAGCGACCTGGGAATGAGGGCGTCTCCTCCCCTCCCAACCGAGCGGGCGGCCGGCGTCAGCACCGCGGACAGCGCATCGGTGCTGCAGCTCGGGGGCGGGCGGCGCTAAGGCTGCGGGGGCCTGCAGCGCGGGGCGAGGCCCGTCACCCTGCTGCGCGGTGCTCCCCAAACCCTGTTTCCTTTTCTCCTTCCCCTATGCCCCTCCCCCCAGTCGGCGGCAGGTACAGTGGCTGAGCAGCGTGTTGCCAGGGCGAGGATGCTGCGGAACAGAAAGAGGGGAGGAGTCAATTTCGAGTAGGGGAACGAGGTGTCACCGGAGGAGGAGTCCAGACCCACCCTGCTCCTGGGTCTTCTTTCGCCACCCTAGCTCCCTGACTTCTCCAGCCCGGGGTGCGGGAACCTGGATAGGAACCTGGCTGAGCAGGGTGGGTAGAAGAGGTGCAGGGGAAGCTCGCTAGCGGGCTCCCGCCGAGGTCGGCGTGGGGGGGGCGGAGGAAAGGGTGTGCTTTTGAGAGCGGCGGGGCGGAGAATCGTCGCCCCCTCGTCCCGCAGCGACCGCAAACAGCGTGTGCTCCGCGCTACCTTGGGAGCTTATCCGCATAACAGTCGGGCAGGGTCTGGGTCACAAAGTTCTCTGGTGAGGAACGCCCTCCGTACGGACGGAAGATGATTCTCTTAGGGCAGCCAGCCCCTTCTCTGTCTGCCACATTCCCTTGATGATGATGATGAGACTACGCAGATAACAGGAAAAAACAAAAAACAAAAAACAAAAAACAATGGTGGTGACTGTGTTTAGACACCCCAGGTGGGTGAACTGTGGCAAAATTAGAACTATTTTCCCACCCCATTTCCCAGCTTGTCTGGCCTCCACACTAGAAAACACTCAAGCTAAGGTCAACCCGAAGTGGTGGCAGCATAGTCAGTCCCTTTAAGGGTCTGGGTGCTCAAAATGGTTCCTGAAAGAGCCTCCACTACTCTTTGGGCATTTCCCAGCTTAGAAACCAGGTACCTCTGACCTCATGCCCCCATATGGAGACTGGGGTGGGGTGGGGCAGGTTGGGAGCAGGAGAGCTATTAGAAAGCAGAAAGGGATGACTTGGGGCATTGGTTTTCTTAAACCAGGCACATTGGAGACTTGGATCTTCCTAGAAATGCTGTTCAAGTTTGTAGATAGAGCCAACTGCCCTCCCCTATGCGTTAGGAGAGACAGATGAGAAGAAACTTCACCATGGTCAGAACTAGGATTTCTGGCTGTGAGTGGCATGTGTCAAGTTTTGCAGTGATCTTCTTAGAAAAGGGCAGGGAAACCTTTGCATGAGGGGAAGAATATCTCATTCATACCGGGAGCTTTAAACAAACACAAATTATTGCCATTGCACAATATTGCTATTATTTGCAAAATGTATTTCAATTATTTTTTCCTAAGTCTTTGTCCCACTTGAGCTTTACAAAAGTGCTGTTGCCCCAACTTCTCTCTTCCCTGCAATGCCCCCATCTCTACAAGTTCCTGTAGGCAGGAAGGATAGCCCAGCCATGGACCTTTGGAGCTGGATTCCACCTGACTGGCCAGTCCTGACAGAAACCCTGAGAAGTGTCATTCCAGGAGTTGGCAGTGGAAGCCTCCAGATGCAGCTGAAGGACACTGCCAGACCTCTCAGTGGCTTTCTTTACCCAGACTCTCAGAGCAGGGACAGTGTTTTGCTGCAGTGTTCTGTGCCTCTGGACCAGCTCCTTGCCCAGTTGGCAGAGGGCCTGCCTTGTCCTCCAGCTTGTTATTCTAGCTTGATTAGCAGCAAACCCCTGGCATCAATCTCAACTCTGAATGATCTAATCAATTTATATAATAGGAAAATGATGAGTTCCCTGTACATAGGCATGGGTGCTTTAGGGGACCAGCCCCATGATGAATGCCACTTTTGCCCACTGAATCAATATTTAAGTCACTGATTTCCAGCTGGCTATCCTCAAAGCCTTTACTTTGGCCCTGAATTGCTGCAGGAGCCTCCTAGGGATGAAGGCTTGCTATCTCAGATTCCTCCCTTTTTAGCTCCACCAAGCTTGCATCTGCCAGTCATTGCTGTGATCATGCCATTTGATCTGATCATGTGACTAATGTCCCTAGATCACAGTCTTCCATGGCTTCCCCCAGCTGTAAAAACTTAGTCTTTAAACCTTCAGGGCTGCCATTAAAAGCCCTTGCTGATGTGATTCCCAGAAAATCATTCCAGCCTCACCTTCTGCTATGTCCTGCTTATCCATACTCAGCCCAATCATCAGGCCTTTGCTTGGCCCCTGCTGGAGTGCTGTCTTCTTTCTCCTCCTCTACAGCTCTTCATATATACAGCTCAACTCAGGTTAGAACTTTTTTCCAAAAGACTTTTCCTTTGTAGGGTATTTTCTTTTATTTTATTTTTTATAAACATATAATATAGTTTTATCCCCAGGGGTACAGGTCTGTGAATCGCCAGGTTTACACACTTCACAGCACTCACCATAGCACATACCCTCCCCAATGTCCATAACCCCACCCCCAACCCCCCCTCCCCCCATCAACCCTCAGTTTGTTTTGTGAGATTAAGAGTCACTTATGGTTTGTCTCCCTCCCAATTCCATCTTGTTTCATTTACTCTTCTCCTACCCCCTTAACCCCCCATGTTGCATCTCCTCTCCCTCATATCAGGGAGATCATATGATAGTTATCTTTCTCCGATTGACTTATTTCGCTAAGCATGATACCCTCTAGTTCCATCCACGTCATCGCAAATGGCAAGATTTCATTTCTTTTGGTGGCTGCAAAGTATTCCATTGTGTATATATACCACATCTTCTTTATCCATTCGTCTGTTGATGGACATCTAGGTTCTTTCCATAGTTTGGCTATTGTAGACATTCCTGCTATAAACATTTGGGTGCACATGCCCCTTCGGATCACTACGTTTGTATCTTTAGGGTAGATACCCAGTAGTGCAATTGCTGGGTCATAGGGTAGTTCTATTTTCAACATTTTGAGGAACCTCCATGGTGTTTTCCAGAGTGGCTGCACCAGCTTGCATTCCCACCAACAGTGTAGGAGGGTTCCCCTTTCTCCGCATCCTCGCCAGCATCTGTCATTTCCTGACTTGTTAATTTTAGCCATTCTGACTGGTGTGAGGTGATATCTCATTGTGGTTTTGATTTGTATTTTCCTAATGCTGAGTGATATGGAGCACTTTTTCATGTGTCTGTTGGCCATCTGGATGTCTTCCTTGCAGAAATGTCTGTTCATGTCTTTTGCCCATTTCTTGATTGGATTATTTGTTCTTTGGGTGTTGAGTTTGCTAAGTTCTTTATAGATTTTGGACACTAGCCCTTTATCTGATATGTCATTTGCAAATATCTTCTCCCATTCTGTCAGTTGTCTTTGTAGGGTATTTTGATCCAATCACTTTGATGCCATCATTTCAATCCTAAGGATCATTTGGTTCTGCTGTGTCCTTGAGAACTTCAGATAAGACACCTGAGCAGGTACAGGTCTTCACTTTTTCTGTGTCTCTCTTTTTTATAAGAGAAAATGGCAGGAGCATTAACTAGGAAAATTAGGGAATGTCAACTCATCTGGCAATTCTACCCCCATGCATATACCCAAATTAATGGGAAGATATATCCACATAAAAGCTTTTCCATGAATGTTCATAGCAGCATTTATCAATAATAGCCCAAAAGTGGAAATAACCCATCAAATTCATAAGTCTCCATCAACTTATGAATGATAAATATAATGGGGTATATCTCTACAATGATATATTCAACAATAAAAAGAAATAGAGTACTGACACATGCTACAACATGAATGAATCTTGAAATATTACACTAAGTAAAGAAGCCAGTCACTAAAAGATGACCTATTATATGATTTTATCTGTAAGAAATG